ACGCCCATGTATATCCAGATTTGGATTCACACAATTTATAAAATTTTACTCCGTATCGGGACCGTTTAGAAGGGATATACTGTTTAAAAAGTAATCTACCCGTAAATTTCATTAAGGACTCATCAATACAAATATTTTCTTCAGGGACATAATTTTGGGAGAATTTGTCTGACAGGAGTTCAATTAGGGGCCGAATTTTGTACAGCCTGTCAAACAATGGGTCGTTTCTTGGGGGGGCACAGTGTGTTGTCGTTAAAGTGGAGAAAACGCAGCAGCTGCTCATAGCGTTCCCTCTTCATAACCCCAGGGAAAAGAGGGGTAGCCAGGATGGGGTGCTTGTACCAGTAGGACCTGATACTTGGCTTTTTGACAATGCCCATAACAAGAGTTAGGGCCCAAAATTTGCGCATTTCTGCGAGATCCGTGGGGTGCCACATATTACGCTGATTGTAATGTGACCCCGGATTCGCAGTCAGATATTGGTTAGCAAATAAATTGGTTTGCTCAACCAATAACTGAAATACTTCTTAGGGGCTCCCAAGCATCCACCATAACAGTGATGCCAGGGGTCACCGTAAATGGGGGAATATCTGGGGCTGTCAGGTTTGGGGGCACCCAGTCTCCATCTGGCATTGGGCTTGCTGAGCGTCCTCTTGTTGGTGGTGGTGGGGCACCATCACTAGAGGAGTCAGTCATAGCCTCAATGTCAGAGGCAGTGATAGTGTCACTGTCTTGCAGAGTGTCACTATCACTGCCTGCCAGAATGGCGTACGCCTCCTCGGCCGAGTAGCGACGTGCCATTCTAGGGGGGACTACTCAATAATTAATCAAAAAAATCTAAGGGGGAAATTACAAAATTCCTACCTGCCTAACACCCTACTACCCATCCTCAAAAACCCACAAAAAATAAAATAAATGTACTCATCGCAGTTTAGGCTGCTGCGACCAGTACTGGAAGGGTTAATTTTTATTTTATTTTTTGTTTTTTTAATAAAAATAACGCCCCCAAAAAGTCAGCCTGATCAGAGAGCCCTCTGATCACAGTGATCACTGGTACAATACTGTACAGTACAGTGATCACGGCAGCGGGGAAAGGGTTAAGGGAGATTTGGGTTGCTGCAGCTGACAAAGGGTCAAAAAAAAATTTTTCAATATTTTTGGCCCTAAAAAAAATAAAAATAAATAATAGTACAAATGTACTAAAATTCATAAACAGGCTGATCACCGTGTTTACATGCTGTGACCAGCACTGGAAGGGTTAAATTTTTTTTGTTTTACTTTTTCTTTATTTTTTACAATTCTCTCTCCTACAGGGCTCTCTAGCAATGATCTATCTGCCTCTCTCTCTCAGATCAAAGTGAGGTGAGGAGAGGGGCAGAGACAATGTGTCAGCCAGTGATTTAAAATCATTGGCTGACACATTGTAACAGTGATCACAAACTGCAGATCACTACGGATTGGCCACAGGGGACCTGCCTGGGTTGCCAGGCAGGTACCCCCACCGTGATCTGCAGTTTGGGAGGGATCGGGGAAACGTGGGTGGGCTTAAACGCCGCGGTGTGCTATGCCACCGTAAAGGCGTTTAAGCCCATTAACGCTGGGACGGCATAGCACGCCGTAACGGCGTTAACGGGTTAAGTTTGAGGATTTCTTTCTCAACCTCTTAACTGTACAAGACCGTGCAAATGCAACGGTCTTGTACAGTTATAGGACCGTTCAAATCATTAATTTGATCAATCGATAGATTAGGAGTTTCATTATTTACTAAATACTCATCCGCTATATTTTTAGGGGTTGGAAGATTATAAAGATTTTCATAATATGAATTAAAACATTTTCCAATCTCCTTCGGATTTAAATATTCCCCTTCTTCATCTGTCAGTTTCACTATTCTGCTTGCCGCAGATCTTAATTTCTATTAAGTTTTCCAAAGCGGCTAAGTTACCCCAGATCATGTCGATTCGATAATACGACAGATGAACTCTAGAAAAAAACTGAAAAATCAGAAAACCCAGGATGTAAAGTTCTCCATAGATCAAAATAATCATACTTGTTCATATTACTCCTCATTGTTCTAGCCATCTTGGCAAGTCTGTCATTTGCCGGTTCTTTCTTAGAGAATTTTTTGTCAATTTTTTGGATCCAACACACAGTTAAAATCTCCTGCAATCAGACTCCTATTTTCAATATTTCTACCAGTACCAAATTTTTTTTCAAAGTTAAAACTGGAGATTCATTTGGAAGATATATGTTAATTAAAGTATACATTATCTCATTTATTTTACAATTAACAATTATATATCTGCCCTCCGGATCTTTAGTTTGATGCAATATATCCACCTTTAGTGTTTGAGAGAAAATAATTGCTACCCCTCGTTTTTTGTTTTTTTTATCTTTAACTGAAGCTTGAACCAGGGTGGGATATCTAGTGCCTCCCCATCTAACGTTATCCGTTTCCCTCCAGTGTGTTTCTTGGAAGAAACCCACCTGTGCTCTTTTAATAAGTGTGCCATTTCGCATATAAAAAAAAAAAAGAAAAGGGGGAACATATATAACTGTTTCTCACTGTATAATTAGTAGTTATCCCCTTTTCCTCTCTTTTAATCTAACCCTTCTTCCCTTTACCCTCCCTCTCCCTTTCTCGTAACTTCACTTTAGGTTCATTGTCCAGGTATATAATTCTTTTCCATCCATTTGGCTAGTAGTTCAGGAGTTTCAAATTTGTCAATCTTCTCTTTCCAATACACTCTAAGAATAGTAGCAAAACCCCAGACATCCTTCACATCCCTGCTTTTTAGAATGTTCAAGATGGCCTCTGCGCCATCTTCTCGAATAGAAGGATAAATCCGGAAATATCAATAGACCTTTGAATTTTTCTTCCAGTTCTGGCTTTCTTCTTAATGATGTCAAAATCCTGGACATAACATAGTAGGATTGAAATTTAACCATGACATCTCAGGGAAGAGAATCCGGTATATTGTGGGCTCTTGGTAACCGGTGAAATCGTTCCATCACAGAGTCATTCAATCCTTCTTCAGATTTAATCTCCCAAAATATTCCACTAAAAAACTTTTCAACATTTTATCAGAGATAGTTTCTGGAATATTACGAATCCTAATGTTTGATCTTCTTGAGCGATCTTCTATATCGTTAATCTTGCCTTCTATTTGGTCCAATTTTGTCTTCATATCTGAGAATGTCATCTATAGTTGATTATATTTTAGTTCCATCTGTACAAAATTTGACTTTATTAAAGACAGCTTTCCCTGCATATTTTGCAATTCTTGTTTTAATTCAGCAGAGCTGCTCAGAATATCTTATTTTATAGTCCTTGAAAAGGTATCCAAATAGTTTGTCAGTATCTCTTTAGTTAAAGGGTTATAACCCTGTACTTCCTGAGGGGGATTATATTTTGGCGGGAGTTAATACTTCACTAATTTCTGTATACAACTGAGATTTAGTTTGAGAAGGGGAAAATAAAAACAGATAATCTTTTTTTCTGGTAGCGTTTCTTTTTTTTAATCTCTTTTCCTCTTATAGCTTTTTAGTCGCCATCGTTTCTTTACTTAACACAGCTTAGATAATTTTGTTTACTTATTTGTATGGAGTTTTCTCCTGCTATTTTACACCTGCAAATGCAAATACTTTTTGCTGGCTTGTTGCTGGTTTATCAGAGCACCTTAATTACTCCCCTACTTTCTCCATGCCTCTCTTTTATTTTCCTCCTTCAGTTATCACATTCTGTTAGTGCAAACAATAGCGATAATTTTACACGGCTTTTGCGAATATATTGTAACAATAGATTTTACTTATGTCCGTCAATTCCACCACCAGATACCGTTAAGTACCGATCAAAATCGCAGTAACAGTAGCCTGGTCCTCTTCGAGATGTTTGCAATTGTCAGCGTTCTCGTGTTCCGCCTCAGCAACCATTATCCTCGCAACCACATCTTTTTTTGTTAAAGACACACTACACCAATTTGTTTTTCTTTTATATTTCTGTATAATTCACGTTTTTTCATAGTGTACAGGGGTGTTGGTGTTTTTTGGTTTAATCACTATTTATGTGTGTTTTGGTTTCATCAAATAACAAGAAGCAGCAGACGATCGAGGGCATGGCAGAGACGGATACCCACTTGTGCACCGGGTGATGATAGATCATGAGTCGCTCCCTGATGTGCAGCAATAGGCTAAAATATAATGAGCTTAGTTTGGATATCAGCAGCATATTATCCAACATGGCAGCTCAGACAGAGGTTAGGATGAAAGATAAGGGACAGCGTGGCCCATACTTCCCAAGAGGGACTGTCCTGATTTTGGGTTGAAATGCCGGTAGGAGGGAGGTAAAGGGGGCATGCCAATAATGCAATACCAGCACTAGCTGTGCCCCAAAGGGGCAGACTCACCCAAAAAGGGAGTGGGTTCGTCGACATTACTGTTGGGTCAGCCTGGTGTGAATTCAGACCAGGCTGACCTGCCAATAATTGTAGCCATCTACTGAGGTCAAGGCACTATTGGGGCACTATTACAGTGCTTCCTTTATGGTCTTATTGCCCTGAACATAGCATTAGTGCTTGTGCTATGATTGTTGGGGACAGTTCACTGGTGTCCCCAAAAGCGGGGCACTAGAGAACCAAGGTGGGGAAGAAATAGAAAATTGGGACTGTCTTGCCAAAATTGGGACGGTTTGGAAGCATGCATATTGTTGGGGTGTCTCCACAGCATCTCCCAGTAATGTGTCTGAGTGTATAACAGAGCTCCACCGTAATAATACTCCCAGTAATGTGTCTGAGTGGATAACAGAGCTCCACAGTAATAATACTTCCAGTAATGTATCAGAGTGTATCAAAGAGCTCCACAGCAATAATACTCCCAGTAATGTGTCTGAGTGTATAACAGAGCTCCAAAGCAATACTACTCCCAGTAATGTGTCTGAGTGTATAACAGAGCTCCACAGCGATAATACTCCCAGTAATGTGTCTGAGTGTATAACAGAGCTCCACAGCAATAATACTCCCAGTAATGTGCCTGAGTGTATAACAGAGCTCCACAGCAATAATACTCCCAGTAATGTGCCTGAGTGTATAACAGAGCTCCACAGCAATATTACTCCCAGTAATGTGTCTGAGTGTATAACAGAGCTCCACAGCAATAATACTCCCAGTAATGTGTCTGAGTGTATAACAGCGCTCCACAGTAATAATACTCCCAGTAATGTGTCTGAGTGTATAACAGAGCTCCACAGCAATAATACTCCCAGTAATGTGTCTGAGTGTATAACAGAGCTCACAGCAATAATACTCCCAGTAATGTGTCTGAGTGTATAACAGAGCTCCACAGCAATAATACTCCCAGTAATGTGTCCGAGTGTATAACAGAGCTCCACAGCAATAATACTCCCAGTAATGTGTCCGAGTGTGTAACAGAGCTCCACAGCAATAATACTCCCAGTAATGTGTCTGAGTGTATAACAGAGCTGCACAGCAATAATACTCCCAGTAATGTGTCTGAGTGTATAACAGAGCTCCACAGCAATAATACTCCCAGTAATGTGTCAGAGTACAAAGAGTTGTCATTAATGGTAAATTTTCAAGCTGGACAGAGGTGGCAAGTGGTGTCCCTCAGGGGTCTGTTCTGGGACCCCTTCTATTTAACATGTTTATAAATGATCTTGAAGACCGCATTGAAAGTCATGTTTCAGTGTTTGCAGATGACACCAAACTTTGTAAAACAATACAATGTGAGCAAGATATTACTTTGCTGCAGAAGGATTTAGATAGACTGGGGGACTGGGCACTCAAATGGCAGATGAAATTTAATGTTGAAAAATGCCAAGTTATGCACTTCGGCGTAAAGAATACACAAGCAACGTATACCCTTAATGGAAGCGAATTAGGGATAACAACACATGAAAAGGACTTGGGAATTGTTATAGACAACAAACTATGCAACAATGTGCAATGTCAATCAGCAGTGGCCAAGGCCAGTAAGGTATTGTCATGCATGAAAAGGGCATTCATTCTCGGGACGAGAATATCATTTTGCCTCTTTATAAATCACTGGTAAGACCCCATATTGAATATGCTGTGCAATTTTGGGCACCTGTTCTAAAGAAGGATATTATGGCACTAGAGAAAGTGCAGAGGCGGGCTACAAAATTAATAAAAGGAATGGAACATATCGGCTATGAAGAAAGGTTAACAAATTGAAACCTATTTAGTTTAGAAAAACGTCACCTGAGAGGGGATATGATAACATTATACAAATATATTCGGGGCCAATACAAACCATTGTGTGGAAATCTATTCACAAACCGGACTTTACATAGGACACGAGGACATGAGTTTAGACTGGAAGAAAGAAGATTTCGTCTAAGGCAAAGGAGAGGTTTTTTTACTGTAAGAACAATCAGGATGTGGAATTCTCTGCCTGAGGAAGTGGTTTTATCAGAGTCCATACAGATGTTCAAGCGGCTACTAGATGCATACTTGCAAGAACAGAATATTCAAGGATATAATCTTTCAATGTAGGGTAATAACTGCTTGATCCAAGGATAAATCTGACTGCCATTCTGGGGTCAAGAAGGAATTTTTTTCCTAGCTTGTTGCAAAATTGTGCTTCAAACTGGGTTTTTTTGCCTTCTTTTGGATCAACAGCAAAAAACAAATGTGAGGTAGGCTGAACTTGATGGACGCAAATCTCTTTTCAGCTATGTAACTATGTAACTATGTGTCTGAGTGTATAACAGAGCTTCACAGCAATAATACTCCCAGTAATGTGGCTACAATGTTTAGAAATCAGTCTGTGTAAATAAGATACATTATTCTTATTCTAAATTACATTTCAACTGCATAAATTGTTATTAGTAAATCACCTAACATTTCTCAGAACAGCCTGGCCCCTGGCAACACCCTCACTCACACTCCTAACATTAAAATGTCCCTCATTGTCCATTTGAAATGTTGAGAGGTATTGTTAACTGAATAAATCAATATGCATGATTTAAATAAATTAAAAAATACAGAACAAGTCCAACAACCTTTTACAAACGTATATTTAAAAAGTGAATTACAGTTTTCCTTTAATAGTAAGTTTTACTGTAACAGCTGCCTTGGTGGTTGGTAATATATAATAAGGATTTTTTTAAAATATTCAAATATTTATAGATATATATTATCTGCCATATTTAACAAAATGCTGCCCTGTATGTCTTAGATTTGTACATTATGTTAGTAAATATTTTAGAAAAAAAAAAAAAAAAAAAACTTCCAACACCAAATCCCACAATGCTCAGCCAGCCATGCATAGATCAGAAAACCATTTGTGGCAGAAGCCAAAGTCAGCCAGCCACTACTGGTGATCTAATGTTGTCATTTCTACTTTTGTAACAAAACATCATATTGTTCATTTAAATAAAGCTTGTTCGGGGGAAAAAAAAAAGGGAATGCCTGCTGCTGCTTGTACTACAACTCCCGTGATGCTTTGCAAAGCTAACCTACAAAATCATGCATTTATCAAACATTTTCTTATATAAAACCATTAATTTCGTTGGACTAGTGAATATAGCCCAAACTACTATGTGATAGTTCAGTAATGAGCTGCGGCTGCTGTGAAATTGCTGAGTGTAAAGGGCAACCGGAAGTGACGTATGACAGTTCCTGGGTCAGGTGAGAGCTGCATGCTTTACACTGTGTCTGAGCTCTGTGTCCTATGATAGAGGTGAGACAGGAGCCCTTTACCTCCTCACAGCAACTGCACTACCCCCCCAGGGTATCCTG